GAGGAGAGTCGCATCCTAACCAATGCACATGGGCATCGGGTGACTTCCAGTGCAGGAAGCATTTGACAGCAGGCTTCATATTTTAAACAGAAAGGAATGAGGGGCTTGCTCAATCACTGAAGGAGCTAGAGGAGCCAGGAATCCAGGCCAGGCTTCCAGAAAACCAACAACACTGCAGAACTGGCCCAGCAGGGGAGCTACCGCCCCTGCCCCAGTTGAGAAAAAGAGAATCAGACTACTATCTGCCTCAGACTCCAGCAAAATGCTGCCCAGGTGGCATCTAGATATCCAGTAGCTGCTGCTGCAACTGTCAGCTGCAAAGCCATCCCATGCCTGCTGCATACACACCACCAACAACAAAATATGCTGCCCTAACCCTGCATCTCAACACCCAGGAAGCTGGAACCTGGGCCCTCCACTAATCCTACCCTGGCTATGCTTTGTGGCAGAAATAGCAGAAGGGCAGCCTCCATCCCACTCCCACCTTCTATGTCTCAAGCAGCTGGATCTGATCTTGTCCAAACCCCAAATCATATTCCCAACCCAAGCTATAAGGGAGTCTGGGAAATAAAGCTCTTTGTTCTCCAGCCTCAGCCAGACAGGAAGGCCTAGGGGAAGGAAGACACAAGATGTGACAAGTGCCAATCCACAACACCCATCTCATCCCTGAACATAGGCCCCTCCTCTCTGCAGCCAGACCCTCAACCCCATAGTGATACAGAGTCACATCTAGGATTCCCAGAACAGAGAAAAGAACTAGAAATCCCAAACACAGCAATTGCCTATAAAGGCAAGAACATCCAAAGGGCATAAGGCAGATGATTCACACAGCAATCTCTGTCCAAGTCTTTCATCTCTGCCCTTAATCTCCCATTCCAGCTGTATTTATTTACTCTGATATTCATTTTTTTATTTATTCAGATTTTCCCATTTCTTTCTATAGATTCATAGGAAACTTTTAATAATTTAAGGAAGGTGTGGGGGGTTAAACAGATAAATTACACACAACCTGAAGATATTTAGAATCCCATCCCCTAATAATCATGATATTAGTAATATAGTAATATCAATATCTACCAGTTATTGAGTACCTACTATGTGCCAGGTATAGATGAGGACACTGAAGTTCAGAGAAGTTAAGACACTTGCCTAAAGTCATCCAGTAAGGCAGCATCAAAGCCAGAATTCTGTTCTGGAGTGAACATTTAAATGCTACCCTTGACCTTGGTGTAAAAAGTTCAAAGGTCCATGTATACCAGGCAAGTAAGGCAATGTGTGAAGGAGAATGAGTGGGGAATAACAGGCAGGGGTGGGAACTGAGGATAGCTAGAGGCTCTGGTGGCTATTGCCATGGGGCATAGGGACCCAGTGTTATCAATTTTTCAAGAGAAACTTGAAATCTGGATTTTTATGTGGATTTAAATGGAGAATAATTGAACAACTTTTTTTATAAACTCTACATAGGCCAAAATCCATTACAGACCAAATCTGGTGCCCAGACTGCCGTCTGTACCTGCAGCTGGGTGCCCTCTGCCACCCTCCAGCCCAGGAGGCCCCTCCTGCCCTACACACACCTCCCAGCCTTCGATGTGGGACTGCAGCTGCTCCAGGGCCTCCAGCTTCTCCATCTGCCGTTTGGTCTCATTGATGTTGGAGCAAACGGTCTTCATGGCCTGCAGGGCACTCTGGACCGCGGGGTGGTCTGGGTGCTTGCCAGGGGTCCTCTTGGCCAGCTCCTGGAGTAGAGATGGGGGCAGGAATGAGAGACATTCAACCCAGAGAGGACCCAGCCCAGAGCCAAATCCCAGCTCTGCTATGTACAAGCTCTGTAACCTGGGGCTATGGAACATCATTAATTAATCCATTCATTCATTCTATAAATGTCCCATGAGCACCTCCTCCATGGCAGACAGTGTTCTAGGGTCTGGGGATAAAGCTGTCCACAAAACAGACAAAAGTTCCTCACCTGGTGGCTATTGCATTTTAGTAAATAAGATAGGCCGAAATAAATAAAAATCAAGTACATAATACAATATCAAGCAGTGATAAATACCACAAAGGCAAATGAGGGGACAGGGAAGTGTTATTTCAAATAGGGAGGTCAGTGGAGGCTTCTCTGAGTAGGGGACATTTGAGCAGAGACCCTGGATGAAGCAAGAGAGGGAGACCTGCAAAAATCTGAGAGAAGAGTAACAGGAGAGCATGTGCAAAGGGCCTGGGGTAGAAGTGCATACAGTACATAACAAGGAACACAGGAGGCGTTGTGTCTGAAGTAAATGACAGAGAGAGATCAGTAGGGCACAGAGGTGGCCACAGATTCTGCCCCTCCCAGCCCAGTTTTCTTATCTGTAAAATGGGTATAAAAAGCACCTCCCCTTCCCAGGGACATGGGACAGGACACGTAAAGTGGCCAGTCAGCTTTTCATCTCTGCTCCCCTCCCTGTTTCACTCTCAGCTCATCCTTCACCTCATGCACAGGCTGGGACATTCTAAAGTCCAGGCCAGTCTTAAAAGATTCTAGTCATGTACTAAGTATGAGGAAAGAGGAACTGAGAAGGAAGGGATTAGCTGGGCCTCGAGACAGGGAACATTTTCAGGCCAAGTCATCCAACCACTGGCCTTCCAGCCTTTCATCCAGGACTGTGTCAGCAGAGATAAGTCTCTTTAATCATGTGACCCAGAAACATGCCAAACAGTTCCAGGCTCTCCCCACGGCCCCATCTCTCTGCTCCCTTGAAAATCACAGATAACGTCCCTGCAGGCATGACACTCTTGTGCGGTGGTTATGAGCACAGACATGGGTTTGAGGGCTGACTCTGCCCCCTGCTAACTGGGTGCCATTGGGCCAGTCACCTCTCCATCCTGAGCCTGTTTCATCATCTGCAAAACAGGATGAGGATGATGGCAATGGCAATGACAGCAGCCAATGCCTACTGAGACTTTACTTTGTGCTGGTGAAGAGGTTCTATTACTATCCCATTTAACAGATGAGAAGGGCCGCCCCAGTGGCGCACTGCTACAGTGCGCCGCTTGGGAGTGCGGCGGCGCTCCCGCCGAGGGTTCGGATCCCACATACAGACCGGCCGCTCACTGGCTGAGCGAGGTACGGGCGCAACACCGAGGGTTGCGATCCCATTGCTGGTCCCGGTCCGGTACGGGCGCGACACTGAGGGTTGCGATCCGTTGCCGGTCACGAAAAAAGACAAAAAGAAAAAAAAAAAAAAAAACAGATGAGAAGACTGAGGCACAGCAAGATAGCCCAAGGCCCCAAAGAAGTAAGAGGAAGAACTGGGATTTGAACCCAGACTGTCTGGTTCTGCTCATGGTTATGATAAGGGATAAATCAGAGACTGCAGGAAAAGAACCTGGTACATATACAGTAAGCACTCAATATATGCTAGCTATTAGCATTCTTGAGCTGCTGTGTGACAGTACATGCTAGCTGTAATTGTGAGCTGCAATCTGCCATGCAAGGGTGTGGTTCTGAGCACTCCCTGCAGAAAACCAACTCAAAAAACATCCCTTCTCCATTTCCTTCATCTCTGCCCAGCCTGAAAATGAACATCCCCTTTTCTGAAGGCCAGGAGGACCTGGTCCTCATTCCCAAGACTCAGATGTTTTGCAACATCAGGACCCTGGGGGTTTCTGAGCTCCTGTGCCTGGGACTGTGCCAAAGGGAAGCCAGGGAGGGAGAAGATGGACCCTGCCCTCTTTCTGGAGGCCCCAACAATGGACCTGGAAAGGTGCTCCCCTGGGAGGTAAGTGGGAGACGAGACAATAGCCCCATGTGGTGAAATCGCTCAGGATAAATCAGAGAAGGATAAATCAGAGAAGGGGAAGGACAGTGTGATCCAAACCAAGCCTGAAAGGCTTCAAGAAGGAAGTGAGTGGAGACAGAAGCTGCCAGTTAGTGGGACCCCTCACCCCCGCAATCCATATCCATCATCCCCTTCTTCTAAAGCAGGGGTCAAATGACAGCCTGACCCACCACCTGTTTTTGTAAATAAAGTTTTATCAGAACTCAGCACGCTCATTCACTTACATATTGCCAACAGCTGCTTCTGCACTACAATAGCAGACTGGTGTAACAGTGACAGAGACTGTCTGGCCCCCAAGGCCTGAAATATTTATTATCTGGGTCTTTAAAGGAAGTTTGCCGATCCACTGGTCAAAAGCAACAGAACCGATTCTTAGCCGAGCAGGAGGATGCCCAGAATAAGGACCTGATTCCCAGCCTGCCCTGCACACCAGGTTCTGACCAACCAGATGTGCAGAGAAGTGGTATGGGCAGCTCCCATTTTCCTTTCCCTCTTCCATCCCTCTTTCCAGCCTGGAATGCAGATGTGGTGTGAGCATCTGAGATCCCAGCAGTGAGGGCCACACCCCAGGGGTGGCAGAACATGGGCCTGACAGCATGGAACTACCATGTGACCCCTGGACTGTCTTGTATCGAAATCGGCTTAGACGGTGCTCACATCACTGTTGTTTGGGGTCTCTGTCACTACAGCTACAATGCTTCTTAGTAAAAAAGAGATGCCACCTTGGGGTGTCACTTGGATAAATTCCCCATGAATTCTTCCTTCTGTTGCCTCTGTTTAGCTTGGCCTTCTTGAAAGGCAGTGAGTCCTTATCCCCACTTGACAGATGGGGACTCTGAGGCTCACACAGAGGTGAGGTCCCTCGCCCAAGTTTGCAGACAGCTAAGTGGTAAAGCCAAAACGCACACCCACACAGTCTAGCTCCAGGGCCCTCAGTTTTACCGCTATTCTGTGACTCTCTGGCCTTTGTCTTCTGACTCTTCCCACCTCCCCCCGCAACTGGGAAGCCCCTACCACTTTTATTCTTTTTTTTTTTTTCTTTTTTCTATTGTAANGTCTTCTGACTCTTCCCCCCCCCCCCCGCAACTGGGAAGCCCCTACCACTTTTATTCTTTTTTTTTTTTTCCCTTTTTTCTATTGTAACACAGTTGAGTGCACATATCTGTGGGGTACAGAGCTGAAGAGCAGTACCTGTGCTGCAATATGTGATGCTCACATCAGGATATAGTATATTTAACATTATACAAAGTACTAGTTTTCTGTGGCCCTTTACCAATTCCTCCCTTACCCTCCCACTCCCTCCCCCACTTTTATTCCTGAAACTAAAACAGAGGGGCCTGTCATACCCTGGGAGGCACTGCCACCACATCTGCTTCTCCCTAACCTCTGGAAGCTGGAATTTCAGTGATCCTCCTCCAATGGGTTCCTTGTGGGGCTGCCAACACCCAATAGTTAGTAAAAATAAGAAAATGGTTATTTCCCTTTTTCGTCTGGCAGCCTCCACCTCTATTCCTGCCCGAGGTCAGCGCCAGGGGTGGGAATTGAAACTGAGCAAGGCCTAGCCAGATTTGTAGCTGGCCCAAAACTGCAGAGGGAGTGTTGGCTTTGGTGTCTCAGTTCCCAGGGGAGTGTTGGCTCCACTCTGCTGAGCTCCAAAAACTGAGGGCCCATTCCCACCTCTGGGCCTTTGCACTTGCTGTTTCCTAGACTGGCACACTCTTTCTCAAGATTGTAAGAGGCAAACAGTACTGCATAAGGATAGGCATATAGATCAATGGAAAAGAACTGAGAATCCAGAAATAATGCTGACACTGATGGCCAATTAATTTTCAAGAAGCTGCCAAGGCAATTAAATGGGAAAAAAAATAGTCTTTTCAACAAATGGTGCTAGGGCAACTGGATATTCATGAGCAAAAGAATGAAGATCCCTTCCTCACACTGCACACAAAAATTAACTCTAAATGAATCATACGCCTAAATATAAG